ATCAGTTGGCACTGGCAGAATTGGGGGGTTAGGTTTCTGCAAAGATCCTTCAGCCTTTTCAATCGTATGGAAAATCTGAGGAAGCATCTGAGCAACGCAGCATCAAAGAGTGCAACAGAACCACACATAGGACCCTGGACCACAGGGTGATCAAATTTCAGCTTCTCATGTCGAGGGTCACTGAAAAACAGAAAAAAAGCAAATTGATTTTGAAAGGATGTCTATATCAGCAGACGGAGTGGCCAGATATTTAACCTCAAGGCTGGCAAGATAAAAGTGGTTTTCCAGACTACTCACCACAAGCAAGATATCATTTAACCTAAGTACACTGAGCCAGGATCATTCTCTGTTTGTAATCTAGCCTGACAGTGTGGTGCTTAGAAATAAATTAGTCAAATAAAACTTGAGTAATGGAAGGAAATCCTAGAATGTAATTCCTGTTAGTGAATTACTGATTTTATGATTGGTTTGTATAGATGGGGATGACAAACAGTAAAATAACTAGACTGACAAGAGAATGCACTGCAATTCAATTAAAATATTGATAGTTCAATGGGACCTAAATAAATGTGATTTATGTATAAATTCAAAAAATAATAAAGAAACTGAACAGAGTTAAATGAAGGGACTAATTATTTCTGAAAAAGCAGGCTTAAGCTATTTAATATTAATAAAAACCAAAGGGAAAACTGACTCCAAAGGGAGTGTCATGTACAGTATAGGAATATCCAGTGATTAGTATGTGAAGTGTAGAGAAATGCTTATGTAAGAGAAGTGTGAAAAAATGGTATCCGAAGATGCAAAATTTAAACCAGATAGACTGACTTATCTACAGTTTATAACCTCATATATAAAGATATTTCACCTGTGGAGGTTTTCTTGAAAAGGGAATTCAAAGAAACAATCACTTTCTGAATATCAAAATGTGTATTTGAGGAAAGTAACGATTGTATAAACAGCAGGCATGAATGATCTGAATCAGTAGTATACAGACTTTTAATTGATTGTGTAGGCAATCTGAATCCTTGTTATAAACAATCTGAATTGACAGTAGACATGTTTTGAACTGCTGGTATGGACACTGTTCCTAGCAGAGCTGGAAGATCAGCTAGAGGAGATTCATTTTAGTTGTGCAATGGGAGTTAAGCACCTGGTGTTTCTGCTGCATTCACAAAACTAATAATTATAGGAAAAGACCTTTGCATCTGTGTGGTACAGGGGAGTATTATTAATGATCATAGTAATCTATTAATAATGTTAATGCCATTAAGGGGGTGGCGTTGTGGCAGAGTAGTTAGTGTGTTTGTCTCACACCTCTGGGATCAGGGTTCAAGTCTCCATTCTGTGTGTATGTGGATTTTGTATGTTCTCTGGTTTCTCCCCACGTCCAAAAACATGCTGAGGTTAAATGGAGTTGCTAAATTGCCCATAGATTTGTGTTCTCCCTGTATTGTTGTGGGTGGTACTCTGGTTTCCCCCCACAGTCCATGAAGATAAAGTGAGTGTGTGGGCTGACACAAATAGGATTGTGCGTGTGTGTGTGTGTGTGTGAGTTCATCCTGAGTTATTGCCTGCCTTGTGCCCGTAGCCTCCAGGATAGGCTGCAGACCCACCGTGACTCTGTACAGGACAAGCAGGCCCAGGAAATAAAAGAATGGATGGATTTAATTAAATTTAAAACTTTCACTGTATACATATAAAATACTTGTGATTTTATGTAATAAACATCTGTCCGGGAATTGCAACCCACACAACTGCAGTTTAAAACACGTTTTGCCAAAGAAAGGGACTTATCTTAGTGAATCATATAGCTTAATGACCAGTATCACATACTATGTGTTCATTTAATTTTTATATAGCATAGTTGTCACAAAGCACTTAGGTACAAGGACAGAATCACCAGCAGTGTACAGATTCCAGAGTGACAATTTCTAGAAGCCAACAGAAAGGAGGAAAGAGGAAAAATGTATGCAAAATGATATACACTCAGGGAATGAAATGACTGGGAGAGACTATACCAGACAGACTCCATGACTGGGAGAGACTACACCAGACAGACTCCATGACTGGGAGAGGCTATAGCAGACAGATTCCAATTATCTATGACAGTAACTAACAGTGTCTCTCAAACCCAGTCTGCGTGACTCAAGCCATATGTGGACCAGCTGAGCTCTTGGTGAACCATTAGTCACAAAAAAACTAAAGTATACAAAAAATACTAACACAAAGTTAATTTTTTCACCAGGACACACTAACAATTAAACAAAAAACATAAACAAAAACACAAATAATATAAATTAGACATAATTCAAAATGTAAGACTGTGTAAAGTATAATGTAATGCAATGTAAAATATTGTATTGCAAATGCTATATCTTTGAAATTATCTATACAGTGGTACCTCAGTACTCAAACTCATTAGAACTCGAATTTCTTAAAAGTCGAACGAACCAGTCCGAAAAAAAAAAATGACCTAGAACTCGATCTGAATCTCAGAAGTCGAACTGTGAATGCTGACCTAAGATAACTTGTACACGCAGGGAAATGAGTCACGCGGCATGTGTCTCAGCGGAAACAAAGGGTAACGCTTCAGTCTCAGCCTGGCATTCGCTGTGATAGCATCGTGCATGTTTACACTAGCTGAATGCATATATTTAGACAGTAAAAATACATTTAGACAATGATAGACAGTAACAGTATTATTATATAATAAAATACATTTTAAAATAAAGATTTCTTAATTATTTTTTATATCATTAATAATACATTATAACCATTAATACATTTAATTATAATAATATTGTCGTGCCCAGCAGGTACAGAACGCTGGGAACGGAGACAAAGGCGCAGATGTCAGGGTATTGGGGAATAAGGGGTTTAATTACAGGTAAGGCAGGCAAAATGCAGATGGATAATCCAATGACCAGACTGGGTAAACAAACTGAAACGCGGACTAAATACAGAGGACTAAAGACAACAACCAGAAACAGCTGATCACATGGGGATTCCACACGAGGTTAACGAGGGGGCGTGGCTCACGGAAGGAGCGGACGATCGGGGCAGGACACAGGTTTTTTTTTTTTAACTTTACACATTGTTTGGATACATTTATTTTCGTACTTTACAAATTACTGTTTTGATAAATGTGCTTAGATGTGTTTAATACAGTATATGCTCTTCTTGTTTTATCCTGTTCATTTTGTGTTTAAATGCTAAAGAAAAAAAAAAAAAAAACATATTTAGGTGTAATTTTTTTGGGGCCGGGAACTAATTAATTAGTTTTCCATTATTTCTTATGGAGAAATTGAACTTTTCAGGATTTGAACCAGAGTTCTGATTGGGTTAAATTCGAGTTTTGAGGTACCACTGTATATTATTGGACTAAACCAGCACATTCACACATATTTTTAAAAAACAAAAACAAATTGTACTTTAAAGTTCTAGGTTAAAGATGATCTTTTTAACAATGGGGGATTATTTTAATTTTAAAAGGCTTATATCAGCAATTAAACCTTATTACAATGTTAAATTCATGTTCCTGTTTTGAAAGTGAATCTCAGATTATTCTGTTTTGGCAACAGACTGTTATAAAAATAAATTTCTTTGAAACTGAAATCCCAAATTCAATTGTGTACATGCCTTCTCTTATCAGCACCTTTTACTTCTTTCACAGAGAGATACAAACACAGATAGGGTTGTGGATCATGGCTGGCCCTCTGGTGCCTGAACAGTGGCTTCCAGGGGCTCCGCTTTGCTGCAGGTAGAATAACCATCTGATCAGACATTCTACACAGACCAACAGGAAATGGTCTTGATGGAAGACAAAACCGATCACATGCTTAATAATGAGGCGTATGCATGGTGCTAAATCCTCCTGCTTACAAAGACCCCTGAGAAAATACATGAATAGTCTAGCTCTCAATATGGGGTAACTTTCATTTTGCTGTTTATGTTTATATATATATATATATATATATATATATATATATATATATATATATATATATATATATATATATATATATATATATATATTACATTTCTGCCACATTTATGCAATCGTCATCACCCTATTCAAGAATTCCTAACAAATTATTTAATCTTTTGAGGCAAAAATGGCATTCAAGGTTTTCGAGAGACATCAATGCACGAGACCTCACAACTCCTATATTAACCATTCATATGTCGCAGCAGTTAGAAATATACATTATTTATGTTCCAGAAAATGATGTTTTGTGCTAACTTGCAAACCAAATCAAATCTAATATGTGAATTGCATGATAGCCAAAAACCACTGAAGATCTGCGTACTGTATATGCAATGTAAATGCATAATTTTAACTCCATATACTGAAAACATTCCGTCATGAAATCACCACGAAAGTAACATAGGAATAAAACTCAACATATTCCACTCCCACAGTGTTTTAGGTAAATATGTGTTTTACTTTGGGAAAGCTATTTAAATTTTTTGGACTGTATTTGTCTTCCTGCAATGTGAGTAGGGTGCTAGATTTTGTGCTAGAATGGCTGAAACATAATCAGTTTTCTGGATGCAGGAAAAATGTGTGGGCATTCAATCAGTACCATTTTCAGTTTTTGGTGAATAAAATATATTAACACCCTGTTTTGCATAACAATCGATACAGTAAGGGCTAATGATCACCCCTGCTTTGCAGAATATCTGGCTTGTAATTTAATCATCTTGCAGCCCAGTTGTAAATGTCGAGGTCTATTGGCATACTTACAAGAGCAGAAAGCTCTTGAATGTCTGAAAACTGCTAAAAGTTGCAAGAGAAGGACTAGAATATCAACTACAGCAATGGAGACATGGTCATTACATTAATATTTATTTTTTTCATATATACTAACTAAACTGTTAAAACTACTGATTATTTGAAATAAATAGATATCAAGGCTGCTGCAACTCATCTTCCTATACCTTTCTGCTGTGAATGGAGACTGGTCTGTCATTGTTGGTTTAACATATTCATTGATCGATGTCTCTTGTATTCCTTCAGCCTTCCGCAACCTCATTAAAATCATGGGAAAGAGACACTACAAGCTGGATGGTGGACAGAATAATCTGAAATGCAGGCAATAGACAGAAATCCTTGCAGTTCATTTAAGTCATATGCCCATAGGTAGCTGAAGTTATAAAACAACATCTTCTCCTTTTACTTTATTCCCACTTTGCCCTCTGCACTTGGAAAATGGTTCATTTCATTTAGATGCTCAGGGGTATGTGTGGGTGTGTGTCTGTGTTGTGTTTACATGACTTTGGAGGTTGAAATGGGATGTGGGGACTTGATGACCACCTCAAATTTGTTATAATGTCCTGGAAATGAAGGAAATTATTCACTTTTTTCTCTCCCAAGGTTTGGAATCATGTATATATTGTTAATATCTGCTTCCTTTTCTCAGTTGCCACTTATATTTAACATTGTGATTAATGCTGTTGTTTTCACTTGGTCTTCATAAGCAGTGATTATGTGCATCTGATTCTAGCAACGAATGTGCATATGTACTCTCTCTTTCTCTGTGTATTTGTCTGTGTGTCATGGACATGGACAAAACCCAGCTGTGCCTCCCAAAGTTCATGTCGACTACATCCAATGACAATTCACAGGATCACAATTTGGTTTTGATAATAATAATCCCTATGCAAAAGAAAAATATCATATTTATACATACCATGTGTCTCTCTTCCCATCATCCCCTCCACAATCACTCCCAAACACATTAAGATCTCATCTCCTGGTTGTAGGATTGATTCCAGTCAGTCGAGTCTAGGGAAGCCTGTCCGTTAAATGGTGCCCTTGAAGAGCAGGCAGATGACAAATGGAATCAATTTCACAGGCCTGTTAATCTGGAGAGCGAAGGCTTGAAGTGTTCAGAGGATTTCACACACCACATACACACACACACACACACACCTTATTTCCCTGCAATTCAGGAGTAAATGTACAGATGGGATCCAGAGAAAAACCACCTTCCACCAAAATTTTTTTGCATGGTAATGCTAATGCTAAAGTTAGTGCCACGGCTCCTGAAAAATAGTAGCAGGTGAAATAAATTACACCCATACATGTGTAGCAAATTAAGCAAATGGATGACTAAGATAAAACAATTAACAATGTCCTTTCAGGAAAAAGCTGATATTACTGTGGCCTTTATCGAGTCATCAATAGATCGTCAGTGTAGTCACTGCGTGGATTTAATGCATCCCTTCTCTCAGTTACTCTCGCCATTTGAAACCAGAGCGTGACCTCATCTTCTAGGCTGTCTGTAATTTCTATCAAGATGCAAGATTAGTTTTCAAGGTCCTGTCCTGTGCCCTGCATAATGGGCAATATCCTCTTTAGAGCTCTGTCGTCCTTGGGATGCGTACTGGTTAGCAGGCAGCTGTCATTATCCCAAATGAGTTTAATGATTCCTAATTAATCACTCGGTCTGTCTGCCAGCTTATGGGCGCATACGAGGAACCATGGAACAAGAGGATGTTTGACTTTATTTGAAAGTGGAACGTAAGCTGAATCTGGTTTAAGAATCCTGGAGGGAAAATACAAATTTATTACTATTAAGATCTTAAAGAGGATGCTTGCAATAAGCAATTCATATAGCGATGCAGACACCTAATCTATCACACATCCTCCATATTTACCTCCCCCATTCCTCTGAACATAAAACACAAGCTGTTAAGGACACCCCACCCTCCACCCCACAGCTTTTCATACCTCACAAATATGGGGATGAGAGCTCTGGGATGAACGGCCTTTGAGGCAGAAGGGAGAGCATAAAAATTGGTGCTAAAGCTGTTGCCTTTATAAATTGGGGGGATGCGAGAATTTATTAAGTGACTATAGAACACAGAACTGTAGGCTCGTACAATATGTTAAACGAAAATCATATTAATGCTGACACTGTTACACTGTACTGGTGTAATTTCTAACACTGAAACAAGCAACACTGCTGTGGCCAAGCAGATTCCTGCAGTCAGAGGAAGTTTCTGGAACTTTGGTTTACAGGCAGGGTTCAGTTCTGAAATGGCAGGTACACCCACTGGCTATGTTAGAAGTCGAGTACACATATAAGCAGCCAGGTAGATCCATATGCTTTGCGCTGGAGCCCATGCACTACACAACCCACTTAGTTTCAGGCAGAGGTAGAGATTTCAGGTCCATAGAGTACAAATCCAGACTAAGATTTTGTTTCTACCAACCAGGTGAGTACATAGTGACTGTGACTTTTTATACTCAACTGGTTGGTTGAAACAAAATCTTGGTCTGGATTTGTACTCTCTGGACCTGAAATCTCCATCTCTGGTTTCAAGTGTGTTCCAAGACACACAGAAAACAGAGGGAGGGGGGGTCAATCAATAGCTGAGCGCAGGCAGCAAGACAGCAGTATGTGAGCCAAGCACTTGGTGTAATGAACTGCCCGTTTGATATATTTCCCTGCTGAGGTTGGGTGCACGCTGAACACCGCAGCTGTAGCATTTCGCTGATTAGCCATTTCTCTCCCATCAGCCTCTGCTGGTGGGACAGAAACTGCCTGTGTTTCCGTCCACTCAAGTCCACCAGCAGGCCTTCACACTGTGCACACGAGCTGCCGCTTCCTGTTTAGAGCATGGCAACGGCCCTCATTACCTCTCCCTCATAAGTAGGCTCTCACCGAATGAGGTGTGACTGTTTCCAGAGCATGCAGAGAAGCTGTTCTGCTTAATTAAAGAATCTTCTTGCTTGATAGTAATTAAGAAATTAAACCGAGGTTAATGAACTCCTGTGGAATCAATTAAATTGTGTAAAATTGCTACCTACTGATCCAAATAATACTACATTAAAAATAAGCAATGCAAAATAAAATGAGACAATAATGTAAGCATCTTTTCCTGATTGTGAGGAAAAGCTGATTTTCTTAAAATAACCAGGTAACTCAGCTTTGAATCCCTCAGTTTGGTAAATGCCTGGTTTGAGAAACAAGGTCACATTTGTTTATTAACATTATTCAGAGTTACATGGGGTACTTACAGTAATTGTTCCACTTCAGGGATTTACACCAAACTACATGAAATCCCTTTCCTTTCAGCAAATTTCGTTACACCTATAAAACTCAGCAGTTTGGCATTTTGTGAACCAGTGGCTACTTATTCATCATTGCCTCTCATTATAATTTAAAGTGCGTTGCAGCTTAAAATCACAATTAGTGAGTTTCCATTACTATTTGCAGATGAAGTACCTGGACTTTAGAACTAGGCCACAAATACACTATGCTGCCCCCCACTACAGAGAAGTCCCCCCTACCCCTTACAGTGCCAGCCTCCCCTTTGTGTTTGTCTGTGCGTTTACCTGGAGAGGGTATTGTATGGCAGGGCTACATGTTTTCACTCTGCTTTGTGTCCACATATGTCAGGGAGAAGAGAGGCATCATGGAAATTTCAAGGCTATTCACAGTTCTGTGTAAATTTGAATGCTACCTTCAAAGCATGATGCTCTCAGCAAAGGTCGGATTTCCAAAAGTCCCTGGTCAGGCCACTATTGCCAATGACCTGAATGCTGCAGGGTTTGACTTTTATCTCCACCCTAGTTTGCCAAGTACAATGGTTTGTGGCTCTTTCAAACTGCATGCAGGTAGTTTTATTTTATGTAGAAGAGCCACTGACAATTGGTGAAGTGGTGCATCCTGGAACTGGATAAGCTAGCAACAATTTTTCTTATACCAGCCAGAATGTAAGAGAATTCTGACAATAAGCTAATCATTTGTTATGCTTTTTTGCCTGAAAACTTTGTGCAAAATACAGAATGACCTGTTATCAGGTATGGAATGCATGAAACTGAGGGAAAAGAGGGATGACAAGCAAGAAACTCTTTTCAGAAACCTTCAGACTGAAGAAAAAGGATGACAGGGCTATCTTTAGAAATCCCTGGTCACACAATGGTCCTCCACCAAAATGAGAACATTACAGGAGAAATTACAGGTATGGGATGTTGAAATCCAGTAAGACTCTATGATGTCCATCATTCCAACAAGTATCTGCAGGAGCTAGCTGAGAGTGAGGATGGTTAAATCATAAAGAATATGTTGTAATTACAAAAAGAATAAATTATATGACATTTTAATTGAACTGTTTTGATTAGGATCTTACCATTGGCTCTTTGCCAATACAGTGGTACCTCAGTTCTCGAACTCATTAGAACTGGAATTTCTTAAAAGTTGAACCAACCGGTTCGAAAAAAAAATTACCTAGAGCTCGATCTGAATCTCAGAAGTCAAAACGTGACTGACCTAAGATAACTTGTACGTGCGGGGAAATTAGTCACTTGGCATGTTTGTCAGCGGAAACAAAGGGTAAAGCTTCAGTCTTCAGTGAATATTATTATATAATAAAATACATTTTAAAAATAATGATTTCTTATTCATTATTTTAATATTAATAATAAACCATTAATACATTTAATTATAAATATATTGTCATGCTGAGTGGGGACGGAATGGAGACAAAGGCGCAGACGTCAGGGTATTGGGAAATACAGGGTTTAATTACAGGTAAGGCAGGCAAAACCCAGACGGACAATACAATGACCGGACTGGGGAAACAAACTGAAACGCGGACAAAATACAGAGGACTAATGACAACAACCAGAAACAGCTGATCACACGGGGATTCCACATGGGGTTAACGAGGGGGCGTGACACACGGAAGGAGCGGACGATAGGGGCAGGACACATATATATATTTTTTTAACTTTACACATTGTTTGGATACATTTATTTTCTTACTTTACAAATGACTGTTTTGATAAATGTGCTTAGATGTGTTTAGTACAGTATATGCTCTTCTTGTTTTATCCGGTTCATTTTGTGTTTAAATACTAAAAAAAAAAACATATTTAGGTGTAATTTTTTGGGGCCAGGAACCAATTAATTGGTTTTACATTATTTCTTATGGGGAAAATTCAATCAGATCTCGAACTTTTTAGGATTCGATCCGGAGTTCTGAATGGATTAAGTTCGAGTTCCGAGGTACCACTGTATATATATATTTTCTCATTGCCCTCTTACTCCTTTAATTAATTGCCATCAACATTCATACTAATTAAACGGCTATGTACTTTTGAAATGAGCCGCCACATTTCTGAGTATCTGTCGGTGGTCGGTGGACAGACGGGTGAGTTTCACAAGTAGAACAGCCATAGACCTGGAAAGGGACTGTGAATCAGTCTGGAAGTGTCACCCCAGACCAGTCTTTGGGGGGTGAGGCATCCCTGACTGATGATAAAATTTGCTGGGGGGGGGGGGGTTGAACAAAAAAAAAAGAGGGTGGGGGGGGGGGGGGGGGGGATTACAATAAAAAATGTGTGAGTGTGAGAGGGTGGTGGTCCCTGGCGATACATTTTGCTAAGCAGAGGGGAGATCGATTGTGTGATCCAGGTTAAATTTCATTTCTGCCAGTTGAGTATCCCAGCTACTGCGCCAACATTAAATTATTTTCCGACCCTCGTCGCCAGCCTATGACTAATGCCAGCCCACTGGGAATTCTCCAGGTTCTCCCAGTTAGCCCCTCCAGCATTGACAACAACCTATCACAGTTATTCCTTTAATAGATTGCTATCTAATAAATCACTAATTGATTTCCCTGTGATTTTAACGGATTTAATTTGTGCAAAAAAACCAATGAAACTAAATCAAAGGCCAGGGAAATATATATGGCCAATAAAGCCATTTACATCTGGCTGTCAACTGTAAATACATGTTATTTAAAACAATTTTCTTATGATTGATATTTTAAAATGAAATGACTTTAGATTATATACATTGAAAACTCTGCCTTTACCTTTACAAATTACTTTACCTTCAATTCTGCTAAGAGTATATTTTTGTAGGGAATGTAATCAAAGTTTTAACTAAATATATGTCACTTCCAGTCCTTTGTAGTGTTACTGCCATGGCTGTGCCCCGAGATCCAGTCCATGAAAATCACAAACAGAAGTGGAAACATACACTCTAAACACTTATGATTCTGTGCCAAGAACGTGGACACACCTCTTCCTGCTTTCATGCAGGGACTGAATAGCATGCTTTGATTGCTGATTTGATTTGATTTAATTGCGATTATTGAAGGAATGATTTTATGCATCGTAAATCTGTCATGTCTATCACAATAAAATTTGATTAATCAACTGTACTGAAAAAAATCATAGATATTGCCATGGGAACTTAATTATTCACAATGCATATAGAACACACACAAAAAATTAAATACATAAAGGAAGGGCTACTGGATTGGATGGGGGGGGGGAATTGCCTGTGGTATAACTTGCCTAGCTTGCTAAACAGTTTAGAATAACGTTACATCATGTTTTTTTACTCTCTAGAGAATGAAACCTTGATCTGTGGGTCAGATTTAATACTAAATTATAAACATGTCGCGGGTCAGTACTTTGAGACCTCTTCTAAGTGGTGAATGAGCCGACAAAATTCCTTGTTCTCCACTATGAAAACTAGCTGTTCGTCCAGTGCAATCATCTCCATTATTTTTAGTAGTTTTCTCATTAGTTCTAATGTTGCTAATTTCATATATTGATGCATTTTAAATACTGGCCAAGACTGACACATTGGACGAATGCCAATATCTTGATTTTTAATATCAGCCGATACTGATATATTAACCAGTATATCATGCACCTCTAAGGCTGATATTACTTTTTTACTTAAATAGGTAGTTAGCTACAGTACCTCAGAGTCATAATAAAGAGCATTAGGACCACCGAAAAGGAACAAAATATATAAATCATTTGAGATTGAAGTGGAACATTTTGAGTTGTGGAATGAATCCAGGAAGCAGCTCTATGGTCTTATCAGGTAAGATATCGTTCATTTCCTGTTGATATCTCGCAGTCTCTGATAGGTCTGAACCGTTTAGCGTTTGACTTTTATTCTGAAGTTTATTTCAACTAAGGATTGTGCGGCAAGGTGACCTCAACATGTCACAGAAGTAAGGGCTGGAATTCCAATAAGGCATTTCAGGTAGATACATACTGTGCTTGAAGGTAATTCCCATAGTATCTAGTTTAAACCTTTCTATCTACAGCACTAACTGCCTAAATGGCATCGAATTTAACCCCCACCTTTTACCATGCTTGTGGTGAGCCCACAAAATGCCTCCACAAAACTGGCAGACCCTGTCTGGGGTACCAGGACAGCCCAGTCACATGGTCCTTGCTGGAAAACATCTTTCTAAGATCTGACTCTTAACCCTGTTCCAGAGAGGGTACAGTCAGGGTTCGAATTACACAGTGGCTTATGGGAGAGTCCTATTTTACGGTGTGAATCTCAGGAAAATAAAACATAACCTATAGCATAAAACAATGGACAATTTTTTAGATCTGGGGAGTCGAGCTCCCCTTTGCGCCCCGTAATTCGAACCATGGGTACAGTGGGTACATTGTTTTTTGGCATGGATCATTAAGGCAAACACACCCTGCCGTCACGCTAAGGACACATATATATATATATATATTTTTAACTTTACACATTGTTTGGATACATTTATTTTCTTACTTAACAAATTACTGTCTTGATAAATGTGCTTATATGTGCTTACTACAGTATATGCTCTTTTTGTTTTATCCGGTTCGTTTTGTGTTTAAATGCTAAAAGAAAACATATTAAGGTGTAATTTTTTGGGGCGGGAACCAATTAATTGGTTTTCCATTATTTCTTATGGGGAAAATTCGATCAGAACTCGAACTTTTTAGGATTCGACCCGGAGTTCTGAACGGATTAAGTTCGAGTTCTAAGGTACCACTGTATTTCAAATCGCATACACATAAACGTGAAGGAATAATAGCGAGTGCGTCTGCTGGGGGAGGGGGCGTGGGTCGTGGGGTGTCACTGCAGTCTATCTATGGGACATCTCTCTCACCCCACGCTACGGACACGCGCCGGTTTACACGAAAAAAATAACGTTTGTAATCCTCATATGTGTTAATTGTATCCAGAAAATTCAACCTAGAACATTTAGTTTCTGGTGCAATTCTGTATTTGGATCCGGGTTTGAAGTCTTTGAACTCGCAATGCGCTGTGAGTTGCAAGTCCTTACCTGATCGAATGGGGCTGCACACAGAGGACATTACAGTTCCACTTGGCACATATCATGAGGCGGATCCTGGTCGTCTGCGTTTGCTTATTCACTTTCATTCAAAGTAAGTACACCTCATCGCTATTCATCCGTGGATCATGTTTTATGATCGCAAATAGGGGCGACTTCGTTAGGCAGCATGCATAGGTGACGGCGAAGTAGGTAGCCTGACAAAAGGAAACTGGGACGCGTGCTATTAGTATTATTATTATTATATTGGTTTTTTTTCTCGCTATTTAATCGGATGAAGTATTTTTGACAGAAAATAGTAATGCACAAAAGCCCACAGTCTCTCGTATCTACACATTTTATAGGTGCCGCTATGTTAAGAATTTGGTAAAATACTATATATATATATATATATATATATATATATATATATATATATATATATATATATATATATATACACATTTACGAGAAATAAAGCTTGCATGCCAGAATGAGCACGAACAGACGTTGCGCTGAGTTTCTTTTGCTTACACTGCATATGGCACAATACCTTCAATGATCAGAAAGTATTTGCAATGTACTTTTTCGGAGTTATCTTGTTTGTATTGAAAAGTCCAAACAGCTCTTTCCAGGGTTGGTATGTATTTGTTGCATAAGCGATTGATGAATGTTGCGATATCGAGTTATATAATATCTGATATGCTTTCGATATCACTGACAGTCCTTACAAATTCCTTAACAGGCTTCGTGTGAAAAAAAAACAAATGAATAAACAACTAAATAAATAAACAGAATTATTAGTTATGAATATTGGCGGAATCTGAACGTAATTCCATGTATTGGCTTGATAAATCTAAGTACAATTTCAGCTGAGGTTTTCTGTGAAACTACAAAATCTAGCATCTTCTGATCATTCTCCATAATGGGGAAATGTGGATGAAATATCAATCAAACGGTTAAAATAATCTGATGTGTTCAGCTGGCTTGAGTACATGCTCACTTTATATAGCTAAATGCTTCAGGAATACTCAAAGAAATTCATAACGTATACTGAGAGAATACTCCTTTAATTTGCTTAAGTCTGGAGTCTCTACATTTGATGGAGACTGAGTCTGAAATTCTGGGAAGGTGTTCTGTCACGGTGGGCAAACATAAATACGACAATCTTTCTCCCACCACATGCTACCCCAGCAGTTAATGGCAATTGGGGCATACCACAGTCATGTATGCAAAAAAATACATAAATACAAATAAAGCATTTTTTTGCCGTTGATTAGCAAATCCATGCAGAGAATTGCTAATCGATCCATCCATGTTTTGTAGCTACTTATCCAGTGTAGGGTTAAGCTGATATTGGAGCCTATTCCAGCAATAGGTAAAATTATTTGTTATAAAATCAGGCTATACGACATAAAAGTACCACAGTCGTTCAGTGGGTCACACTGTTGCATCATGACTGTAGAGTTTGGGGTTTGAACCCCATCTCTGCTCTGTATATGTGGAGCTTGTATGTTCTCCCATAGTCTAAAGACATGCATGACATGTTATGCTGCTTGGAGTTTATAAAACACCCATAGAGTATGATGATGTACATGCCCAGTGAAGGACTGGCATTCTTTTCAGGGTGTACTGGAGTCTTGTGCTCTTAATGCCTGGGGTAGCCTCCAAACAACCCTGACCAACAACAGTGCTTAGAAAACGGATGGATCCCTAAGGAGTATATCAAAAAAATGGCTACAGACACAAAAAAAAAATGAGTTATTACTAATACAATTTAATTTGCCTTTCGTATCTGTTCCAGTGGGAGCCCTTATTTGTTTCAGCTACTACAAAGTCTTTTACTTACCCCTGGATGAATATTATAATGCCGTACTGCAGCCTTTCAGAGCATACATTGCACACCATCTGTTAAAGTGGCCTTTACTGTGTTCATTCAGCCAAGCAGAATCACCACGGAATGACCTATAATGGAAGTAGCATCTAGACGAAGCAGACATTGAATGGACAAGTAAACAAAAACGCTGTACTTAAACTCATCTCTAAACAAGCAAGGAGACAGATGAAATGTACATGACATCATGTGGTGTATCTAATGACTTAGTGTTTGGCCATTTTCTGGGCACATCGTTCAGGGTGTGGGATGGCGAGGATGGTGGCAAATGTGAACATGCACTAAGCTCGTTTCCTGTGCAGCTTTTGCATAACTTGTTATTTCGGCATAAATGCAGAATTTAGAAGTCAAACTCAGAGAACAGTACTGCATAGGACAGCATTCTGCATTTAAGTATGAGACGAGTGCTGCATGGAGTAATAGGCTGTTTGTTTAACAGTGCCCAACCAGTGTTAAGTGGGGGGGAGGGGCGGGGGGGTTGGAGCCTCTTTGTCAGTGCGAGAACATACTAATTGTCCAGTCAGCAACAAGGCTCTGAACAGAGTAATGAAACATGCCCAGGAACCTCAGATAAAAATAAAACCACAGGAGAATTATGAGGTGTGTAAAGCCATATTTTATTTTGGGTGCGTTTTCTGAGAAGACAAGGAATTTCATTCTTGGCTTGTATTGTAAAGAATAATGATGGGTTACTTTTTGAATCCATCCATCATCTGCTTGTCTGATTCAGGGTTGCACGGGTCTGGAGCCAATGGGCATAAGGCAGGGAACAATCCAGGATAGGGAGCCAACCCATTCTTGCCTATGTACAATTTAGCAGGTTTTCAAACAATGGGGGGTGGGGGTGACTGGAGAAGTTTAGCATGTGATGGGACGGTTGGGTGAAGCCAGATAGCCTAGAACATGCTCCACACACATATAGTCAGCAAAGAGACTCAAACCCTAGTCCCAGTGATGTAAGGCAAAAGTGATAACCACTGCCCCACCAGACCACCCCACTTTTTGCATCACTTCTAGCAATTCTGAATGGTTACACAATTAATATTTATTATCATTATCGAGGAGAACTGTAATGTTGGGCAGCCTGTCTCCATGAATGGGGGCCCCAACACTGTGAGGGCGCGGTGCTTTCTTGTTCTCCCTGTGTTGTACGGGTACTGTATATTGCAGGTACTCTACTTTCCTCCTGCAGTCCAATGATGTGCAATTAGGTTAACTGGCATCTCAGAATTGCCTGTATTATGTGACTAGGTGTGTGTGTGCCCTGTACTGACTCACATTGGTGACTTTGTCAGGCATAAGCTGCTGGACAGATGGATTGATGGATGGATGGACAACTGCAGCATTCCTTTCAACAATCCATGCAGTGTAAGATGGTTTTTAATGCAGCCACATTTGTCATGTTTCAGATGGCCATAATGCAGACTCTGAGGAACGATTAATGAATTGGCTACTGGGTAAAGACCGATACAACAAGCTGATCCGCCCTGCCATTAACAGGACTGAACGTGTCACTATCAAACTACAGGTTTCCCTAGCCCAGCTCATCAGCGTGGTGAGTGCTGAGGGCAGCCAAGAAGCTGTGCATCCCTTCTTTGTCTAATTAACGTCACACATCCAAGCGTTTGGTGTCTTCATGACAGGGCTGGCTGTTATCTTATTGTCTGCCAGAGGCAGACCGAAAGTTTGACACATTTACATTAAAGAGCTCCATAAACCTGCCAGAATAATGGTATCACAGTCCCTTTTCTGATTTACTGGGACTTTTCTGTCCCTCCCATAGCACAAGAAAGGGCACCAAGCCAATATTTATGACTTCTTATTGTCCCCCTCTTGGTTATTGAGAGTGTTGTGTTCTGTAAAATATTTTCATATCTCTGGTTGGTTCTTTTTTTTTTGAAGCCTAAGAGTTACTACTCATCTGTAGTGAGTTCAAGTTTTTTAACAATAGATGCCCTGTCAATAGATTATTTTAGTGTAGCATCCTCAACAATTATGGTACTAATTTTAAGAAGCATGAAGTGCATTTGTGTGGGAGCCTAACTTGGATCTCTTACTCTTTTTCTCAGAATGAGAGAGAGCAGATCATGACCACCAATGTCTGGTTAACTCAGGTATGCGTGAAAGATTGAACTCATTACACCATTAATCATCACATGCTCCTGGCTTCCCACGCTGCTAATTCCTTCTGAATTCAAACATCTCAGTATCTGTATTTCTAATCATTCTGAATAAATTTAGATTTAGGCCTGTTTCCATGCCATTCAATTGAATCCATTTGCTTAGGAAATGACTTTTCCAAGACATTGTAAAGGGAAATTTGAACTGTCCATCTGCAGAATTGGATTGATTACAGATTGTCATGGGACCCTTCAAAATATGATGGAATTGACAAGATTCGTATTCCATCACGACACATATGGCTCCCAGATATTGTGCTGTACAACAAGTAAGTGTAATGCTTTATGCAGATTAGTTTTCATTAAGAGCTTTTAATTACAGTATTGTAACCATTTTTATATGCAGTTATTTATAATAAACAAGTCTATATTCTTTGTTCTGACATAAGCTCTTTTTCTGTGAGGCTCTCCTACTTTCTTGTCTTCTTGGTAGTGCGGATGGAACATACGAAGTGACCGTGTTTACAAATGTAATCGTCCAGTTCAACGGCAGCATCTTCTGGCTTCCTCCAGCTATCTACAAGAGCGCCTGTAAAATTGAGGTAAAACACTTTCCTTTCGATCAGCAAAACTGCACACTTAAGTTCCGCTCCTGGACATATGACCACACAGAAATCGACCTGGTACTGAAGAGCGACATGGCCAGCATGGACGATTTCACACCCAGTGGCGAGTGGGACATCCTGGCCCTCCCGGGAAGGCGGACAGTCAACCCCATGGATCCCACCTATGTGGACGTCACCTATGACTTCATCATTAAGAGGAAACCTCTCTTCTATACCATCAATCTCATCATCCCCTGTGTGCTGATCACCTCTTTAGCTATTCTGGTTTTCTACCTGCCCTCTGATTCTGGTGAGAAGATGACCCTTTGCATCTCAGTGCTCCTGGCCCTTACTGTCTTCTTACTTCTCATCTCCAAGATAGTGCCCCCAACCTCACTGGATGTACCCTTGATTGGCAAGTACCTGATGTTCACCATGGTGCTGGTGACCTTCTCCATCATAACCAGCGTGTGTGTGCTTAATGTGCACCACCGCTCCCCAAGCACACACACCATGCCTGCTTGGGTCAGGCTGCTTTTTCTGGTCAAACTTCCAGCTCTACTCTTCATGCGGCGCCCACAGAGCGATTCGGCTCGTCAGCGGCTACTGCAGCAGCGCCAGCTCCAAGCTCGGCCCTGCCTGGCCCCTCATCCAGGAGCCAGCTTTTCCGCTAAATCTGGGTTATCTTCCGCAGAACATTATTTTGGTAGAACAGCATTGCCCTTAGGACTTAACACAGCCATGAAGAAAGGGGATCCATGGCTTATGGACCGCTTTCCAGAAAGGTTCTCCTCGAGGGATGACCTTCACAAACGGGGAACTTCAGACTGGGAGGCTGACGTACAGGAAGCTGTGGATGGGGTGAGATTTGTAGCTGATCACATGATGGGGGACGACGATGACCAGAGCGTAAGTAGGCTTTGTGAGTCCTGAGAATGTGAGCGGTTTTGACAACCAAAGCTAAAAACTTGAACGTGGGAATCTGACAGTGGAACAGCTGATAGCTGGCCGTGGAAACGATGGCAGCTGAAACTTGTAATAATATCCAGACAGACTGTAAGATAGTCAATGGTTGTTACTTTTGAAGAGATCAATAACTGGCAGAGGTGACCAGTGTCAGTAACAACAGCCCTCAAATACTGCTGAGTGCACCTAGGAGAATAATGGTCAATAATAAGGGTCAATATTCACAGGCATGTTAATCTAAACACTACTGTCACTTAGTTTTAATATATTTTAGTACATCACTAATCAATGTCAAAGCCTAAGCATAAATTATAAGCAGGATGTGGGAACCTCATGGTCTATGTCTGTGTTACATGTATACAAGTGTCTGCTGTGCGAGTGAGAGATACAGGTTGCATGCAATAACTATTAATGATGAAGCACGTTGCATTATGAGTGTTGTGTGCAACAGATCTGATTTCAATGTTTCCCTTCCCACTTGTCCCCAGGTAATTGAGGACTGGAAGTACGTTGCCATGGTGGTAGATAGGATGTTCCTGTGGATCTTTGTGATTGTGTGTGTTGTGGGCACCCTGGGTCTCTTCCTGCAGCCTCTCTTCCAGCATCAGATTGTCCCTACCCAGCAGCTTGGCACAGATACACCAAAAAGAGATGCCTTTTGAATAGACAGACCTGAAGCCAATGTCAAGAGGTTTTCATTGATTTCAGCCACTCCAGCTGTCATTCTAAAAAAACACAGACAAGTAACCCTGTGCTCTCTGCCATAATGGGTTCTTTTTACAAAATACAGTCAATGAGTAAATACTGGGAATAAGGAGGTAGTGACTGACTCTCATGCCAAGGGCAATTCACATAGAGTTATGTGAAAAAATTAGAACACCCATTAAATATTTAGTACTTGATTAAGAAATATCAACATATCAATATTAAATCTTGTTTCAAATTATATTTGTAGATAAAGGTGATTTAATTGCATGACCGATGAAAAAACAAGAAACAAATTCACTTGTTTCACAAAAGAAATTAAGATGCCAATGCCTACTGAGGAAAAAGTTAGGACACCCTGTGCCCTAATAGCTATTATTTCCCCCTTTGGCTGAAATAACTTCAATGAGACGTTTCCTATAACCATCTATCAATCTCTGACATCGACTGGCAGAAAGTTTTCCCCACTCTCCAGTGCTGAATTCCTTAAGCTGTGTGATGTTTGAAGGGGGTCTTGCATACACTTCCTCTTCAAATCACCCCACAGCATCTCAATAGGATTCAGATCTGGGCTTTGACTTGACTATTCCAGAACTCTTTCATGTAAGCCATTCCTTGGTAGATTTACTGTAATGTTTTGAGTCATTGTCATTTGCATGATCCACCCCAACTTCAGCTTCAACTTCTGGACAGATGATCTCAAATTGTCCTTAAGCACCCTCTGATATGATGAAGAATTCATAGTAGATTCTATGACGATGAGCTGGCCAGGTTCTGCTGCAGCAAAGCAGCCCCAAACCATGACATTTCCACCCCCATGCTTCACAGCTGGCATGAGGTTCTTTTGGTCAAAATATGTCTTTGGTTTACACCAAACTGTCCTCTGTTACTATTTCCAAATAATTCAATTTCAGATTCATCTGTCCAAAGCACATTGTTCCAAAAGTCCTGGTCTTTGTTTAGGTCGTCTCTGGCAAACTTCAGTCTTGCCCTGGTATTTTTTTGACAGCAAGGGTTTCCTCCTTGCACAGCTCCCATGTAAACCAAACTTGCACAGTCTCTTTCTGATGGTAGATGCATGTACCTTGACATCAACTGTGGCAAGAGCTTCCTGTGTGACCCGTGATGACATTTTAGGATTTTTGGAGACATTTCAGCATCTTGGGATCTGCTTTTGGGCTGAACTTGCTAGGACAGCCTGCCCTGGCCATGCTGGCAGTTGTTTTAAATGTTCTCCACTTGTAAATTATTCTCCAGACAGTGGAATGGCTGATTCCAAACTGTCTTGAGATCTTTTTATATCCTTCTCAGACTCATATGCATCTACATGCTTCTTTCTGAAGGCCTCAGACAGCTCTTTGGATCTCACCATGGTGATCCCACTCATTTCAACAATCAAGAGCAAACCAAACTAAATATCTATGGTATAAATAAGACAGACTCCACCAAAAAGCTCTGTAATAATGTTCTAATCATTTTCACCTGATGTGCTGCACCTGAATCTAACTCTAGGCATTTTATATAATAATGGAAGTGAGGGTGTCCTAACTTTTTCCTAAGTGGAAATTGGCATCATAGTTAATTTCTTCTGTTAAATAAGTGAATTTGTTTCTTTTTTTTGCATAGGTGATACAGTTACATCACCTTTATCTACACATATGATTTGAAAGAAGATTTAATAGTGATATGTTGATATTTCTTAATAAAGAATTAAACATTTAATGGGGTGTCCTAATTTTTTCACATGACTGTAGGTGAGGTCTAATATGTCACGGACACGTCTCTGTGACAAGTATTTGACACTAGAAAAACCCTGGAATCGACAATTGTGCTTTAATATACTTTGTATCCCAACTTATTTAACGTCTCTCCGTGTCTAAAAGTGTACCATGCCAGAAAGCGTTTCATTAAATTGTGTCACCAATAAATGTTCATCCTCACAAACCCATCAAATGTATAAAAGTGCTAATGAATCAATTTAGCTTAATTTAAACAAGATCTGGAGCAATATTTATTTCTATGGATTTAGAATGGACCTTAGAATACTTGCACAATATACTAATTTTAATCTTTTTTTTCTATCAAAGGTTTCATAGCAAGATTTGTAATTATAAGAACATAAGAACATAAGAACTATACAAATGAGAGGAGGCCATTCGGCCCATCGAGCTCGCTTGGGGAGAACTTAACTAATAGCTCAGAGTTGTTAAAATCTTATATGGCGACATCAAAATCCTGGTGACCCTGAACAGCTCTTAGTGAAATTATGAGTTTACTACAGTTGTCTATAATTAAAGAATTATAAAAACAAAGTACAGTAGAATACATCATGAAAACAAGTTTGATTTTGTTTAAATAAATCCAAATATTTTTTAAGATGCAATTTGTTTTGTGTCATTATTCCGGCTATTGATCATGGAAGATAAACTTAAGGTAGTTTGGACTAGCACCCCTGCCAGGGTTTCCGCTACCTTGTGCTCTATGGTGTCCCCACTACCTTGTACTCTATGGTGTCCCCATTACTTTGTACTCTATGGTGTCCCCGCTACCTTGTACTCTATGGTGTCCCACGCTAGATCAAGGGTTGGAAGGTACACATTATTTAATTACTTATTTCCATACAACACCAAAGGCAGCAACTGTATTACTTTGAAAATTCACTTACTTTCATTTACTCCTTACTGAGAAATTATTATTATTAATTTTAACAATTCTGTATAATCTTTGTGCTGTTTATGTTTCATATGAAGTGGCAGTGGTGGCTTAATGGTTAGGGAAGCACACTCGTAATCGGAAGATTGCAGGTTCAAATCCCCAACCAGCAAAACACCACTGAGGTACCCTGAGCAACGTACCGCCCCCAAGCAACGCTCCCTGGGTGCTGAATTAGCTGCCCCCTGCTATGTCATGAAAGTCGCATATGGGTTAAATGCAGAGGACCCATTTCATTGTTGTGCTGTGGTGTGTCAACAATGACAAATAATCGTAAATAAGTATTTTGCTCCAGTCCAGGAGGAATACCATTATATTTGATTGTTTCCACATTACAATGTACAACACAATGTAGTTTATTACAGTACTGTTTATTTTGAACATAACTAAACCAACTGTTCACCACACTGGATTCAAATTCAAAGAAGGAACCCAGAATTCATACACATAAAATATCCAGGTCATACCTCTGCCCTGTGCCCTTCACTGCTGAGGGTAGGATTCAGGCCCCCCTGCAGTCATGTGCAGAGTAATTGTTTGGAAAATGGATAGATGGAAGACAGTAAATGATAAAGAAAAGTAATGTTCCTCAAGATCATTTTAACATGATCAAAGGTTGACCGGATATAAACATATCTGAGTCATTTTCAAAATGTGATGATTTTCTGACTAGAAAAATGGCCAGAATTTTTTTTCTCTTCAACAAAAGTTGACAGTAAAAAGTTCAGTATCTTGACATTATCAAGAATCACATGGGACATCTTAACTGTTGTTCTATGTTTTATTATTTGATTTTATTTTATGGTTGTTCCATGTGTTCCAAATTCGGTACAACATTTTAGATGATTATTCTACCCTCAAAAACATAATCTTTTCATTACCTTTGAATTTAATATAAAATGACAAATTATTGAGATTGAGGTCTGTTCCACTTATTGATACCATTTAGTCTTTATACCAACCAAATGATCATAACTGTAATGGTAGTGATGATGAAATGAATTACAGCTTTTATGCGGGTGTTTATGTCAGTTTCCTGTTTGGATACTGTGTAATTCCCAATGTAGCATCAATCTACTGCCCTTTTGCCATCAGCTGCTTGGAACACAGCTTTTAACAAAGACAAAGGAGTTGGTTTATGTCTATGCTCAGCTCTTGCTGGATTTTTACTACGTTTTGCAATTTGCACAAGGTACAAAAAGCGCAGAAGAAAAACGTGTTCTGTGTTAATGACAGATACAGGTTCTTTGAGAGTACTCCTTATTTGACCTGGACTCTTAAAATCTCCTTGTATCCCTTCCAGTACTACATCCTGCACCACCAATATATTGAACTAGACCCATCTATACCCATCTATTAAAATCATAATACTTGCTTATGACTCTCACGTATTATTCATCCCCAAATTTTTCTGCATGGCTGCAAAAATTACACCCAGTAATTTCACCATCACTGTTTTTAATGCTGTGCAACTAATCTTATTTTACAATAAAAAGGAAGGTGACTCATTTTCACAACTTGACATTGGTAAGAAGGAAAACAATGAAAAGGAAAAAATGTACCCTAGAGTATAATCCTTTCACTGATGGGGGCGCAATAGCAACAAGGGAGGAAATTAATATGTGCCTGACTGTAATTATTACATGTGGGGACCAGGGGGCTGTACCAGGAAGCAGGATTTCTTGCTTAGCCCGATAACTTGAGAAGAAAGAGACAGAAAAAATCCAAATCAGGGAACCAAAACGAATCATAAAACTACCAAACAAGTCGTAGATTCCAAACCAGAACAGAAGCTATGGCGGAATACCACATGTGCAACAGGTAACTGGTGAAATGTACATTCACCTTTCGTATATGATACATCACATTATCCATCCATCCATCCATCCATCCATTATCTGCCGCTTGTCCGGGGTTCGGGTCGCGGGGGTAGCAGCTTCAGGAGAGATAACCAGACCTCCCTCTCCCCAGCTACCTCTACCAGCTCCTCGGGGAGGACACCGAGGCGTTCCCAGGCCATCTGAGAGATATAATCCCTCCAGCGAGTCCTGGGTCTGCCCCGGGGCCTCCTCCCTGTAGGACATGCACGGAAAACCTCTCCGGGTAGCATACCTGTCAAGTTTTGGATTTGAAAATAAGGGAAATTTTCCGGCACCCACCATCCCACCACCCCAACCAAGCTCCAGTATCCCTTACATAAGGGAGAGCCCAGACATCCCTTACAAGTGTACAAGAAATCTAAAATAACCACTTGTCATTTACATTTTATTTTCATTACACATTTTCTTTTAATTTCTCATGTTCACTCATGTGGCTCTCTGGCATTCACTAATGACTTATTATACAGATTTGTAGGGACGAAGATGGACCAATAGATCGAGATCTTTGCTTTTCGGCTCAGTTCTTTCTTAGCTATGACGAACCGGTTAAGCGCCTGCAAAACTGTAGACACCGCTCCGATTCGTCCATCCAGCTCCCGATCTCACCTACCCTCACTCCTGAACAAGACCCCGAGATACTTGAACTCAACTTGAGGCAGTACATCTTCCCTGACCTGAAGAGGGCAATCCACCCGTTTCTGGCTGAGAACCATGGTCTCGGACTTGGAGGTGTTAATCCTCATCCCCACCACTTCGCACTCGGCTGCGAACCACCCCAGGGCACGCTGGAGATCCCCAGCAGATGAAACCAACAGGACAAGGCTCACTCTCAATTTTCAAGTCTAGACTAAAAACACACCTATTTAATTTAAGACTTTAAATTCATGTGTTTATTGGTTTATATGCTGCGCAGCACTTTCGTCAACGTGTTGTTGTAAAAGTGCTTTACAAATAAAATTGTCATTGAGACTGACAAATGCATTATTACAACAACACGTCAGAAAGGCATTAATAACCAAGGGGTTTCCTCCATCATTTCAATCGATGTAACAATGTGTAGGATGCCGTTTCTTATATGGTGGTACCTCGGTTCTCGAATTTAGTCCGTTCCGGACTCCGGATCGAATCCTAAAAAGTTTGAGTTCTGATCGAATTTTTCCCATAAGAAATAAAGGAAAACCAATTAATTGGTTCCCGGCCCCCAAAAATTATTTCTCCCGAATATCACGTAATGCTGTGAGAACTGGTTTTCAGTTAATTTACCTGGTAAAATAAAGATTAAATAAATGACATAATGCTCTAATAGTACACGTAAGTTAGTGGTTTATTTATTGTTAGTTACTGTAATGTTCCGCTGCTTTATTTGGTCAATCGTCCATTCTGTGAAGAAGGCATTCAAGTAAGAATTGCATTGTAGTATGACTGGCGCGCACAATTTATATTAGGTCAGCGTTCACGGTTCGACTTCTGATATTCAGATCGAGTTCTAGGTCAAACTGGTTTGTTCGAATTTCAAGAAATTCGAATTCTAGTGAGTTTGAGAACCGAGGTACCAATGTATTTTTGGGTCTGACGATATACATTATAAAGCAGTTTAGTCATAAACTGTGGGCGCACCTGCAGATGACCAAGTCACACTCACTAATTACTTTTTCAGTTCTCATTAATATGATGACATTATTTTGCTGTGGTTTTCTTCGTTATTATCCCTCCCCAGGACCTTTATTTCCTGCTTGTATTATGTCCTTTACAGCACTTACCCGTTAATACTATGACGTACTATCTCAATGCAGATTTGTTCGGTTTACCGGGTATTTTGTTATTGCAGTCAAGGTTGTTCACTGATCAAAGCAAATGTATGCTTATTTAAGATTTGGATTTGGTGGTTGCGGTTATTCTCACATACTGCGAGAGTTTACTTACCTGTGGATGGCTGCTCATAAAATTTCACTCGAACTGTTTTGGAAAACGCCGTATTTAAGCTGTTTGTTTCACCTCGACGGGACTGGGCTATAAATAATATTTCGCACTCATCATCTCACATAATAATTAGCTTGTATGCTATGGTTTAATCTGCCGTCTGACAGTCCAGGATTTTAGATTTAACCGTTAATTAGCCCCAATTTGGGAAGCAAATAAAATTATAACCTTGAAAATTGAAAAGAAAAAAACGTTATCCTAAAAGATATCCTTGATGGCCGTTAAATATACTTACCATGACCTAAACGGTCTCTGAATGTAATTACCGTACACATGCCAAGAGGGCTTAGGAAACGGGTGAAATGTTCAAATTAAAAATAATTTCAAAATTAAAGGTAAACGACAACTTAAAGTTTTAACACCACTAAGATAAAAGAAATCAGGGCCTTGTTTAATGAGTCACGCAATCGCGTTCATGTTTTTAACGTGAGCCGCAGGTGGTGAATTGTCTTGAGGTTATGAATCAACCGCGTAACTTAGTAACTTATGTAGTGTGTCTAGATAGTAAGAGATAATCTAAATACAGTCCATATGTACTAAAAAAAAGCTTTAAAACAAGTTAATTCAAACTAATATTGAATTATTGGGAAATAGGCTACATATAATCATGTAATGTATTCATCATTACATTACTGTAATTTATTTTATTATAGAATAATATTACTATTATTTAAACGAAAGATGATATTTTCATGTTATGCAAAAACATAGCGCGGAGCGTATTTCGTCAATCTCCGGGCGGTACCCCCGTGTGATCGGCGGTCTGATTCCTGCCCTCCTCCCGATCGCCGCGCTCCGCGCCCCCCGCAGCCTATATGCACTCTCACAGCACTTTCTCATTCAGTCTGCTCTTCTCCTCTAGGACCTTAGGAGCAGAGTTATCGTCCACTGGAGTATTTTCAGTCGAAAATGATAAAACATTGGGTGATTGCTCATATCTGTTCCGTTCTCCTTTTCCTTCTATCAGGTAAACAGCTTATTTTACTATTTTGATTGAATATTTTCCCTAGCTGTTGAGAAACCGGTAAAGCACTTAACTCGTATAAAACACATTACCCATATCAATATCATTTTCGTCTACGTGTATTATTATGTGATGGAGTTATGCGGTATTTTTATAACCGCACATGTAATTTTGTTCTTTTTTTCCCACGAATTTCTATGAAGTGATATTCATAAAATATAACAAAAAATATACGTATAAAAGATGTATGTTTTCGTTTTGCGTAAATCTTGAAAAGGGGGGCAGTTATGTGTTTGGAATTGGCTTTTTCGCTCCTGTCTTCAGTTAAGAAAATGTCATATTATAATTTTACTTTGATATTTCATGATGCTTTTGTGCAGAGAAATAAGGAAAGTTTTTACACATTGATGAGAAAGTGAGAGGATTAAGTGCAAATACGTAACTATCCATAACACATAGGCTATTTAACATTACTTCCCACATACGTGTTTAATTAAGGCATAAACAATCATTTAAGCATAAGGACCAAAAAGAATATTCAGATGAATGTGCAGAAAATAACCTTGAGTTAACATACTTCTTTCTTTTTCAGGTGGTTCCTGTTCTGAGGCTGAACACAGGCTGTTTTCGGTCATCTTCTCCAATTATAATCAGTACATCCGCCCTGTAGAGAATGTTTCCGACCCGGTCATTGTACATTTCGAGGTGTCTATGTCGCAGCTTGTCAAAGTGGTGAGTGGATCGGGGTGACCTCTGTCTCTGCTATTTTTTTTTTCCGAAGACTTCTGCTCCCCCAACATAATTGACCCCTGTGCTGTAAATTCCTAGATTCAGGGCCTCAACACCAACTCAGGGCTAATCATCAAGCAGAGAGCTTCACACAACATCAGTACTCTTACTTAACCTGATGTGCATTGATTTTAGGGGCAATAAAGTGCAGCCCAAAAATTTGCGTATGTGATTTTTCATTTTGGTAAATAAATAAAGATGTGGCCGTGTAGTGGCCGGAGTGCATATGCAATCCTTTGAGCTGTAACCCTTCAAACCAAAGAACCTTGTCAATTGGACTGCCCTCAGATTTAGGTGTACTTATCAGGGTGACTGCATGGAATCAGGCAGAAGAAGATGGGAAATCTTATTTATTGTAATGCTTTGCACCAGACTTTTCTGTGGGGGGCTGCCCTATCATTCAATCACTGACACTTCAATTGAGCACCTGCCACATCTTAGCCTGTCATGCCTTCTTACAGCTGAAGGAAATGGAATACGGCAAGTTGTAAGAGCTGAGGGCCTTTCTCACAAAGGCAGATTGTTTGGTGCAAAGCTTCTGTTGTTATTTATATATGCACAGTGAATATCAGGACCATGCACCAAATATGGCAGGGGTCCCTCATTAAATTGGCTTGGCTTTGATCCTAATGTGTTGGAGATTTTACATGGCTCATTCTCTGGAGATTAGAACTGAGTTTTGTGATATTTCTACTAAAAACCCTTGTGCATCAGAATGGTTTGCAATCCACTCTATCTCGGGGACCATTATCAGAAATGCCAAAAAAAAAAAATCCTTCTCATTTGAATTTTAAGGATTTTTACTCTGAGGATTAAAACCTGCCACAAAGTGTCCGTCAAATGCCAATGTTTGTGTATAAATAAGGAAGTTTTTGCTTCCTCCACACATCTCAATAGATTCCATTAAATATCCTAAGCAGACGGTTTATCGCTAACGGCTGGGCTACAGGCCAAACAAACGCGTTTCCTAACAGTGACACAAATCTTGACAATATTTATAATTTGTCCTCACTGTCTGCTGAAATACCAGACAAGTGGTTCATTTGATTGATGGTAGTTATTTACACTCTATTACATTTCCACGCCTCGCTTTGACTGCGATGCTTCTCCTTGCATAAATTAAAAGGGCCTTTCCATTTGAATCTTTTCATTTAAAATATCAATACCTCTACTGAGGCTTGGTTCTAGATACAATGGAACTTAGAAGTCTAGGGGGTTTGAACTAAGTGTTGGAATTGTCCTATGTTAAGGGACATGAAATTTGTTAGTTCATTGACCAATATTTGAAATCCATCCGTACAACCTAAGGTCTGTCATATCTGTGTCTACGCCACTGTTCATTCTTAAGATGTCTCTGATGTCATGTCAGTAGAACCCCAGATTCACCAATGAATGCCAGGTAGCCAATCGAGGGATTCTGTCTTCAGTACTGAAGCCTCATGAGTCATGATACATGGGCACCGCATGGCATGTCCCTAATGCTCAGATGACGATGGCAGCTGCCGTGTGCCACAGGGCTGGGGGGCTCAGGTGCTATGTGGAGCTGTGATATACCCTTTGGCTCTCTAGCTTTCTCCAGTCTCCTCACTTCCTACCCTTCCTACCCCAGGTGCCCCCGTTCCATCTATTAATCTGAAGAATTAGGCTCAGATTGCTGTGTTTTCATTCATTAAAGAGTAATTGCTTCTACTAATATCATTAACCATCCTGGATAATTGACAATGTACAGGATAAATGTTCTTCCTCTCTCTCCATCAATGTCTGAGCAATTTCTGTTTGACAGGATGAAGTAAATCAGATCATGGAAACCAACTTGTGGCTGCGACATGTGAGTTTTCCTTCTTTCGAAACATTGTAATGTTTATTAATTTGATCACCTATAAAATTATGTTAATCAATTGCTATTTGCAAAGTACATCCAAAGATTTTCAATAATGTTTGATATTTCAAGAGCCCAAAGCTTTCAGAAACAATCCTGGAGTTGCTAAGTGTGGTTGAGCCACGGAGAAGGTATGTTTTGAATTCAAGGTGTTTACATTCAAGAATTCAAATTTCTGTCAGCTTGGCTTACCGTGTCCAACTAATGTATGCTTAGAAGTGGCTGCTGTCAGTTTACAGAGCCTGTCCACAGGAGTGATCAATAAGCATTTATTTTTGATGTACTGTCATTTATGAAGTAGGTGGCATAAACAGACTTAATTAAAAATGAATAGGAAATAGCACCATAAATAGGAATCAGTCTCTCTCACTATATATTTATACCGTGGTAATAAAAGCTGTCGGGTGTTTTCAAAGGCTATATTCAGCCATTATCTCATATTGAACCTTCCAGTTAACACAACGCATCCTGTCACCATGACACCACTGTGAAGTGGAAAGTCTCCTTGTACCTGGCATGGGAATTTTCAGCCTTTGAGTACCTTTGAGTTTCTGAGTTATTTACTGACCAGCACCAGAAGCACACTGAGAACTGAAGTTTTGCCTGATCATTTTCACATTGCGTGCTGATGAACTTTAACCAATACCCCCTCCAGCAGACGCTAACTGTTAGCTCTCAATAAATACTCCAAAAGAGTCAGACACACCAATAAACAAGGTAGTAAACCTTTGTTTATGGAGTAATCTATAGATCAGAACTAAACATTGGTGCATGGTTTGGACTGACTGTTTAAAGTTGTCCTGTTAATTTGGATTCTTGAAATAGTTTCACTTGCCTAAAAATAAACAACAAAATATGCAAAAAGGTGTGGTAAGTTGGAAGCAGTGTTAGACTGCTCTGAGTTGTAGCAAAGGCTGGAGTCACGTGCAGCAGTGGTCTTGGAAAGTCATTGAGAGGGTAAAGCTGTAAACCCCATACCGGAAGGACAGTGTAATTGGCAAATAAAAACGTCTCATTTCCCTTGTTAAAAACAGAGAATGATTTACAGAGAAGGGAGTAACAGAAGTGACCGAGGTTCAGATTCCATTCTAACTATGATCACATGCAGAGGCACTGGTGGTATTGCAGAATAATTTGTTTCTTCTCTGTCTTGTCTGAAATATATCTGATGAAATATGAGTCTCATCCTCTGACTGCTATAATACAGTCTGACATGTCTGACGTCAGTCACTCTTGAAATGTTGCAATGGAATGATTTATTTGTTTCACCCCTCATTCCTTTTTCCATATTTATCTGAATCTGCGATCACTTTGTTGTTGTAAAATGTTGGGGGTAAGCTTTCTGTTTCAGGGTATTTGCAAATGGTACAACCCTGACCTATAGGTTCCATTCTCTAGAGACAAAAATAAAGTAATCCTTTTCACTGCCTTACATTGTGCTGACTTGTTGAGAACATAACATAAAAACAGATATCTTATCTAAGAAAGTGAAAGCATGGTTTTACTGAAATTTGGATTTTTCGATCAACAGGTCTGGAATGACTACAAATTGAAGTGGGATCCCAAAAACTTTGGAGGCGTGGAATTTATCAGGGTGCCTTCCAACAAAATTTGGAAACCAGACATTGTTCTCTACAATAAGTATGTATAATAAAATTTGCTCACTGGAATGCATCCATCCATCTATCCATCCATCTTCTGATCTCTTATCTTGGTCAGGGTTGCAGGGGCTGTTTGAATCTAATTGTGAAATTCTATTTATAATTGTGTTACTAGGTCTCCCACCATGATTCTATTGAAAGTACTATGACAGGTTTTTATTATTAATTTGATTTTTTAGGTAAATGCTGAAACTAATACTTAAATGAATTTGTTCTGTCAGAGATGTTTTGTTTTATTTCTGTAAAAATGTGATCAGTAAAAAATGGCACTTATTCATAGCATGCTAAAGACAGTAATAATACAAATTACAATTTCAGTCGCAGAGGACAATGGCTGCAATATGGATATATAACTGCTGTGAAGGGGCTGGATTAGCCCCCGTTTTTGTAGACAAAAGCCATTATACAGTAAATGTTCAGTTTTGGCTTAAAGAGCCTATTTCTCATAATTATAGTTTATATTAGTGGGCCATACAGTTAGGACTGTTTTGGAAATGAATGCTCCTGAATTCACAATATGGATCCGCAGTTCAGATCCATCATTAAATGTTGCATCCACAGTGCAGTGGGGGACTTTCAGGTGGATGACAAAACTAAGGCCTTGCTGCGCTACAATGGAGAAGTGACCTGGATTCCTCCTGCCATCTTCAAGAGCTCTTGCAAGATTGACGTTACCTACTTCCCCTTCGACTATCAGAACTGCACCATGAAGTTCGGCTCCTGGACTTATGACAAAGCTAAGATTGACTTGGTCCTAATCGGATCGACCATCAATCTAAAGGACTTCTGGGAGAGTGGTGAGTGGATGATCATTGATGCTCCAGGTTATAAACATGACATCAAATACAACTGCTGTGAAGAGATCTATCCAGACATCACCTACTCCCTCTATATTCGTCGACTTCCACTCTTTTATACAATAAACATGATCATTCCTTGCCTGCTAATCTCCTTCCTGACTGTGCTGGTGTTCTACCTGCCCTCAGACTGTGGGGAGAAGGTCACACTCTGTATCTCTGTGCTGCTGTCCCTCACCGTGTTCCTGCTGGTCATCACTGAGACCATCCCCTCTACCTCGTTAGTTATCCCGCTCATTGGCGAGTACCTCCTCTTCACTATGATCTTTGTGACCCTCTCCATTGTCATCACCGTGTTTGTACTGAATGTGCACTACCGTACGCCTAAGACACACACCATGCCCCACTGGGTGCGTCACATTTTTCTGGGTTTGTTACCCAGGGTGATGTTCATGACCCGTCCCGAGAGAGACCCTGAGAGACTAGCTTCTTGTGCACAGCCACTTTCTCCATTGCCCTATGGGTCACCCATAGCTGGTTCCCTGCCACGTCCCAAGCTGCACAATGTCAACTCCAGTCTGCACCAACATCAGCGTCTCCTCGTCAGCACCGAGCTCTCTAACCTCAACAACCTGAACAGCAACTCCGCAAAGGTCGGGACGGGCTTCCTCTGTCGGGAGGGACGCTGCAACTGCTGCTGGCGGCAGAGGACTACCAAGCTGCCCACCGGTGGGAGTGGAGGAGTCATGGGGCTGCGGACCATCTCTACTGCAGGTGGTAGTGGGAGCTCCTGTACCAGTTCAGAGTCTCTGGATGGTGGAAATGTGTCCCTGCCCACTCTCTCGGTAGAAGTGAGGGAAGCTATTGAAAGTGTCAAGTATATAGCTGAGAACATGAGGATACAAAATGAAGCCAAGGAGGTGAGTGTCACATGTAGATCACTACCTTGTGATAAAAGTAATTATGTGTTGTGTAATATATAGCGTGCATTTGCAGTATGCATAAAACATTCAACACTAATATGTAACTGTTCCTGTGTAGTCAGATTCATGCAGTGTGATTCATCCTTTTCTTTGAAATTTTATAAAACTTGGACACTGTCAAAAAAAAGGATTCAGTTTTGTTCCCCAAGGTATAAAAACATTAATGAACCCCCACTAGTTAAAAAAATGTCCGTCAGAGTCCATTTTGTACCTTACATTATACTAAAAGGCACATTTACCTACAGCTAGGGCACAATTGACAGACCCTTTGGTTTACAGACCAAATGACAAATAATAGTACCCTCAAAGATCCAGAAGGGTGATTTTTCTGACACTGTATGTTCCAAAGAGATCCGTATGCTCATCTACTCATTTCTTGTGTTTTAGGTTCAAGATGACTGGAAGTATGTTGCCATGGTGATTGATAGGATCTTCTTATGGGTTTTTATTCTGGTGTGCATTCTAGGCACCGCAGGTCTTTTTCTTCAGCCTCTTTTACTGGGAGATGACATCTGACATACAAAAATGACTATTTTGGAGGAGGTGAAGGTTTTAAACTTAGAGCGTAGTTAGAATGTGGAATCGTTGTGAAGTCACATAGGTCAAGTCTAGAATCAACATGAAGTCACATGTACAAGCAACCTGGGGTCACAGTCAAAAGCCTTGCAGATACGGCTTTGCAGTAGAGATGCTTTGTGATCTCTTCTTCAGTGTAATGTGTTGACATTGTTGGTGTGTTTATAGAGTTTAAGAGATCTTCTGACCTTGGATATATTGATAAGGAGAAGGAGAGGACATAGTTCATTGCACACATTGGGTTCCCAATTCCCTTCCCTTTTGTATGGTGTTTGTATTACTGCTAACAAGATGAGGACATTTCAGGTCCAGAATGTAGAAATCCAGACCGAGATTTTGTTTCAACCAACCCTATGACTGTGACTCTTTATACTCAACTGGTCGGTTGAAACAAAATCTTAGTCTGGATTTTTACTTTTTGGACCTGAAATGTCCATTTCTGGACTGTTGGACAATAGTGTTACCCAAGTGTGTAGCATTATAGACTTAAGTATAGAATGAAGTGTATTGGGGGCCTGCTCCTGTAAAACAGCAGTATGGTGTACTCTGTCTAATTTTCATTTATTTTATTTGCTTTAGACATACTGAAATGTACAAATGCATTTCCCACATTACTGACCTTTAATGATCAGTGTTCTATTAGATTTCCATGAAAGTGTGCATTTGTTTGTTCATTACTCTGGTTCCACATTTTGAAAAGAATTATTCTTTCTCAAATTATTAATTAGCTTTATAGACAACAGCTAACTTAAATAAAGAAAAATTGTCATACTGTCTTATTACATTCTTGTGTGGACATACTTTATTGCAACTGGCAAATATAACCCTTTGTGAGAAGTGTATCTTAGCAAATCAGGTGCTTTTCCATTCATTTAAAAAATATATTGTATTTAGAGAGAGGCAGGCTAGTTAGTGGTACATGCAATGCAAAGAGATGGTTCTTAATTTGTTAGATTTGAGGACAGTTTAATATTCATTTTTACATACATAGTCAATTTCTTGTGCCAAAGTCAATGTGATGAGTAAAAGCCCAATATTCCTCCCTTTGCGGAGTAAAGGTACTGCTATCAACAGCAGGGTCAGTAAATATGCCCCCATATTTAATGCTGTATGCTGAAGCACCTGTTTCACATATACAGTATAGTTCTATGTATTGAATACACTATCCAGAAAACAATAGTTAATGGAATCTGAATATGAATTCAAACTTGAAACAGGATAATGGTGGGGCAGGATTTAATGAGTCCTTTGGCATAAACACTGGCACATGTGCTGAGTCAGTATCCCCTAATTGAATTGAAGTTCTAGAGGTGCTCAACAGCTCCCCTTTCCTGATCCTCCTCCATTAAATGACTGGATTCATTTCGGCTGATGCAGTTAAGCCTTCCATTATGATCTGGAGTGGGTTACACATATGGTTATCCCAGGAAAATTCATCACTGTGTAGGGAAATCAATATAATTTTCTCTTATGAAAATTGCATTTTGAATTATTAGCAGCAAATAAATATGATTAGTGGCAGGATAGCAATTTATGTTAAGAACATACTTTCCCGCCAATTATGAGGACCTACATATGAATCCAGACACCCAAGTGCCCATCCATGGGAAACAACAAGATGAAAGCAATTCAAAGACATATTCACTGACCAGGAAGATATAAAAAATATTTCTCCTCCCTCCTGTGCTCTTTAGCATCATAATTAAGCAAAACACCTGGTGAGAAACTATTAGTGTAAATAAGACCCTGGGATGCCCATTCAGACGTCTAACACAAAGGAAGGACCTCATGAATATGTAATTATAATTAGTTAAGCAGTAATTTCCCAGGTCTTTATATTGGGATATAAAGAAACCAAAAGAATAATCATTTAAAGCAGGAAAAATGTGCATCTTATGAATAAAATCTTTTGACTGTTTCTCAATCACAAATACACATATAATTTCCCTTCCTGCTGTCTTCAGACATGATGCTCGTTATTATAAATTTCACCATTTGGACAATTTGTCTTATCTGATAATTGAATCTGGTGTTCATTTGCCCACACTGTGGTCCCGTGTTGTGCTCGTCTGCCTCTGTGCCTGATGGAGGAGTTTTTGGACGTTGTCCATGCTCTCGTTCAGTGGAGACATGCGCATTTATCCTGTTAAACATGGGAGATAATTTAGGTGGAACTTACTCTTTATTAATGCTCAGAAGCTCATTACAAGTAATTCTGTAACATGCTGAAGCACACGTTTTAATGCATAGAGTTAACAAAGACAGGAGCAGCAAGAATCCGTGGCAGTCAGCTAGACAGTCAGGCGCCGATTCGCATTCTGTAATGAAGATCATGGAGAAACTGGTCCTGTTGTATCTCAGACCACTTGTGTGTTCATCTCAAGACCCCCCAGGGAACTGTGCTCTCTCTTCCTTTTCACCACCTATACTGCAGACTGTACGTACTGCACTGAGTCATGTCATCAGCAGAAATTTCCAGATGACACAGCCATAATTGGACGAATACAGGGACCTGGTTGACCACTTTGTGAGGTGGTGTGGGCAGTTTTCAGCCAGAATTAGTCCCCGCCCTCCCCAGTCGGTGGGATAGATGCGGAAATTGTGACATCATACAGGTACCTGGGCGTTCAACTGGACAATAAACTGGAGTGGTCCACCAACACAGAGGCTGTCTACAAGAAGGGCCAAAACCAGCTTTATTTCCTGAGGAAGCTCAGGTCTTTCAATGAATGCAGAAGGATGCTCAAGATGTTTTATTAGTCACGAGCACCATATTCTCTGCTGTGGTGTGCTGGGGAGCAGGCATCAAAGCAAAGGAAGCCAGGAGACTGAACAAACTCATTAGGAAGGCCGAGTCTGTTGTTGGCTCCAAGCTTGTCACTCTGGAAGAGGTGGCCAGGTACAGAATACTGGCAAAATTGCTGACAATTATGGACAATGGAAGGACTTAGGGTAACACAACAGGCTGTTGGAAAATATGAAAAAGCCATAACTTCTCTATCCCTGACCCTAGCTTCATTTGGCTAACACTCATTTTGAGGACTTAGGCTGACACAACAGACTGTTGGAAAGTATGAAATATGCTTATGTTCTTATGCTATTAAATTGAGCTAAACTATGGATTCCTGTTATTAGGATGCTTATAAAAATATCCTTTCTTGTCAGAAAAAGGCATACATTTTCTAACCCTGTGTGAACACACCTAGGGATTGCTTGTGCACTTACTGCCTGATACCCCAGGAGTGCAGACGCAGCGCAATTGATTTGGGAGATGCCATATGATTTTATGATTTCGTTTACTAGAGAAATTGTCACCTTTCTTCTCTTTTAGAGTAAAGAGTAATTTATATACTTTGTAAATATATTATTTTGTAGTGACCCAGAAGGATAAGCGGTTTGGAAAATGGATGGATGGAAGGATTGATGGATGGATGGAACAAACGTATTTTTTCTGGAAAAAGATTTGATCTGTTGAAACATCGCATCACAGTGGCATCTGGTGGCCAAATGGTGCTTGACAAAGCCTCATTATTTGAGGCAGACTAGAACCAAATAAGATGTTATGATGACATCATTATGATACTGTGTCTAGGAAAAATGTGCAAAAAAAGAATGTCTGTGGCATTCTTATTGACGTATTCAACAAACAACAATTTAATGCCACCACCTTCTGTTGTTAATAACTTAATTTGAAATGCCTACATTTCTGAGTGGGCTAAAAGCTTTTTTACGTAATGCTTCTACATTAACTGCAGCTTCATAATGCATAATTTATAAACAATTTCATAAATACAGTGGAAACCGCTTATAGTGATCACCACTGTCCGGGTGAAATTGATCACTATAAGTGGATGATCATTATAACCGATTTTTTTCTTCTTTATGTCTTAGGCAGATTACCATCTAATTGACATTTGTACATTTATTACATATAAATTACAGTACTGTACAAATTAAATTACCTACATGTGTATAATTCAAACTTAATATATAATACAGTACGATACTGTACATAATATTCAATTCAATTTTATTTACAGTATACAGCGCATTTTCACAACGTTGCATTGTCTCAAAGCGCTTATTGAAGTTTCGCTGCTGCATCTTGGTGACTTAGTTTTTATCAAAAGCTTTCATGAGTCTATATTTGTCATTGAGAGAAAATGACTTTCTTTTTCACGTCATGCTTTCTGTGCACACCACAATAGCCTGAAGTAGCTAGCTAAAAGCAGACAGGTTCCCACAAGGCAGGGTGATCAAAATAAAGTTTAACAAAAAATGCAGTTTTAATGTTTTCCATTTATTGTCATGTTTAAAAAGACCCAAAATGAACACTGTAAGTGCACTACTTGATTACTATAAGTGAGTTATGTAAACAGTATTTGTACAGGAATGATTCTGTCCAAAGCCTTTTGATCCATATAAGTGGCTGATCACTATAAATAACCGTGATCACTATAAGTGGTTTCCACTGTAATAATGCATTCATAAAGCATTATAAACAAGGCTAAGAATATTTATCAAAAGTAATAACACATTATAGCCATGTTTATTATGCATTATGAATGCTTTATGAAGCTCTCATCTGTAATGCACTATAGATGCCTTTACAATGCATTATAATGTTTAGTATAAGCATTAAGGATGCTTCGTATTGCATTATAAAGGTATCTATAGTGCATTATGGATGAGACCGTCATAATGCATAATAAACATGGCCTTAAGTAAAGTGTTACTGCATAGGTATGGGATCAGCACAATACAAAGGTAAACTCACCAAATGTGGCTTATGAGGAGAAACATATTATAGTTACTGTTTTTTGTGATTAACAGCTGGGACCAACGTCTGGATGGGTGAGCCCCCGCTTTGTGTTGCCTGGGGTAAACTTAATAATATATTTTTTATACAAATCCACTGTAATGTGTGAAACATAATTTTATGTAAAAATAATAACAAATAAATTTGAATATTAAACAAAATCTGGTAATACTACTACATGAGCTGTTCTGGTTTCTGTGTCTAACCTTTCTACTCAGAAACATGGTCACAGTTTTACCATAGGCAGTCATGTTGCTATTTTAAACTAGCTAAATGCTTCAGTAATGCCTGCCCTAAAACTCACAAGAGTACAGCCTAAAACCATATCTCAACAGAAATGACCTTCATCCTACTCTTAGCTTGTAAGTAGCTTCTAAAACAGCTATTTGTCACGGTGCGTGCCGCTCGGAGCGGGGAATCAGGCGAACGGACGTCAGGGATCGGGGAATACGGGTTTTAATCACAGCACACAAAGCACATCACAACAACGTCAATGACCGGACTGGGGATACAAACAGGAACGCGGACTAAATACACTGAACTAATGACAACAATCCGAAACAGCTGTAAAACACTGGGATTCCACATGAGGTTAACGAGGGGGCGTGGCACACATTAGGATCCGACGGAGCGGGGCATGACATATTTTAATACTGCATTTCATTGTTAAGATATGACGTTTTCAAATTTATTACTGTTTTGCTGAAAATTCTATAGAACCTTAATATTTATTCATTTATTTGTAGATGCACTAGCAAATATGATGCCAACCCATGCAAAAGTTAATTACAAACTAATGTACATTTTTTACTATATTTTACTGCGAATGTATAATTTGCATGCTTTTACTTCCATGCATAAAACATTTTTTGAACTATAAATCAACCTTTAATAACAATTCCACAAATTGAGTGTC